GGCACGCACGCACACGCGCCCGGCATGAGTTTTAAGCCACCGGGTCCAGGACGCGAACCGCAGTCGACTATGTGGGAGTCCAGCAACATGGCCATTATGCTAACTGTTGGTTCCCAATATTTTTAACATTGTTGCTTTGAATAATTACAACTTTTTTGAGTAGGAAAAGCATCTCTTTTTGATAGATTATTTGGGGATTATTATTCTGGGACTAGTCTTTTGAGGTCATTAGAGGGCACTTTTCTGGCTGTGTAGTTTTTGGAACCTAATGCATTGATTCATGCACTTAGAAGGCTGTATCTAAAAAACGGCATGTCAGCCTATTCATGGAGGATGTCTCTAAAGGCACTGAAATGCATGTTAGCTAGGTCATCTCCTTCAGCTACAAAAATAAGGAGACTGAAGTTGGAACACCTAGTGTGATGTAGCCCTACATCAGAGATCGAGGACCCTGAGGTGTAGAAGCTACCGCAGGTCAAATGAAATAGAACTGGAATTAAGACTCGAGGACTTGTGGTTTATTTCAGCTATTCTTGGAGTGTGGTTGAGTTTCAGCCCTACATGTTTTTCTCCTAAAATAGTGCTTCAAATGTAGGAGGTGCTTACAGTTTTCTGAGTCATCCAGTAGATCTCAGGTGTATATGTACTAGGTACTTCTATTAGATGCTGGTCTTGAAAGGCTCAGCCTTGTGTGGCACTGTTTTACGTGCACACACACACACACACATTTCTCACAACTGTTGTGAGTGCTATGCTTATCACTCCCCTATTTTCAGATGAGCAAGCAGGCTCAAAAAAGTAACATCCCAAGGTCACCAAGAGGGCGGAGCTGTGATGTGAACACCTGGCAACTCCTGGCCATTGCAGTTCTCAGTCTGTGCTCTTAACTTTCATCACTTGGACAGTCCCCAAGGTAAAGCCATTTTTTAAATGAAAGGATTTTCTTTCTTTTTTCAGTCCCCTGTTGCTGTGTTGAGATTATGTACTGGAAAATCTTTCACACGTCAAAACTTTCATAAAGAGTAGATTTAATTTAGTTTTTGCTATAGGGTATAGGAGCTTACCAGAGAGAGACGAATCACACCCTAGCCCCCAGAGGGGTAGCCATGCTGCAATCCCTTCTCTAGTCCCCTCTTGGGATATGGGGTGCACATGTACACACACACACACACACACACACACACACACACCTGGCGTGGTTTTCAAGCTGCTGGGTCCCATGCTGGGGCCATGTGGGATCTAGCCATCTTAATCTCCATGCCTCCTGCTGGCCCCAAGAGAAGATTTTTTAAGGCTGGGGTTTTCTGATTAGATAGGGGTCTTGTCTCACTCTAACTGGCGACCTTTACTTTGAGGAGAGTTCTAGTCTAAAGGTCTAGTCATGGGATAACCTATTTTCTTTCAGCTCAATCTAATTCAAGAATGGAAACACTTCTTGAATATGGCCTCTAAAGCCTAGACTTTGCCTTACAGGATGCTAATGTCAACACTGCTGACCAGGAGGTGGCTTTGGAAGAGAAAGTGGACTTTTCTTTTTTTTTTGGCTTGAGTGGCCAGCTATTTGTAACTAAATTGCCATGGACTTAAAACATGGGAAACTTGGGCTGTAACCCATTTTCTGCGATAGCAAACAATCTCTGAAAATTGAGCCCCCAACCTGACTTCTTTTACGGCTTATGGAATGGATCTTACAATGTTTTCTGTGAACATTACATGAGAAGGCATGAAACAATGTTTTCCAAACCACAAGACATACTACTGGCAGCTATTGTCAGTTGTAACGTGAGAAGCATCTTTCAGAAGTTGGTTTGTTTTCTCTGGTTATTAAAAAAACATTTTTTTTTTTTTAATTAGAGCTTCTTTTCCAGTGTGAGGATGGGCATTGTCATCGGTGTGATCTACAGTTGACTGTAGTGAGGGGTCAGATTTAATGCAATAAAGTAGCTCAGGGCAGAAACACAACATGGAACTTAATATTCCCACTCAGTTTATAAATTCCGGGAAGGCAGAACCTGAAAGTTCAGGATGAAGGGTTGGGGTTGGTCTTCCAGTAAGTCCTTAGGGGCCCTTCACGGAGGGAGAGCATTCAGAATCTGTGTAGCCAAATGGCACTGGCTCATTCCCCTGTAACCTCAGACAGTAAGTCACCGAGCTTGCTGCACTGTTTAGGTTTTTGGACACTATATTATGGTAGAAGTCAAGATATTTTAATTCCTGTGACTTCTGTTTTGCAGCCCCAGTAAATATAGTAGAGGGACAAGATGTAAATTATTTTGGAAACTAACCCTTCCCTCTTCCTCAGCTTTCTATCTAGGTGGATGACACATCCCCCAAAAGATAGGTTTCTGCAGAAAAACTTCACCTTTACCTTTGAAGGTAATGTATTGCTATTATTCCTTATGTAAAATCAGGGAAGCATTAGTAGCAATCTATGGCTTGTTTTAAAACAAACAAACAAACAAAAAGCAAGGGGTGATGATATTCAAGGTTTTATCCTGACGTTTTGCAGCTCAAAAATAACTCTTATTCTCTGAAATGTCTCCTGTGAAGATCTGGTTTTCATTCAGAAACCAGATATCGGAAGTATCCAAACCTCACTCTCCTCACTCACAGCTGTGACACCTCTGCTCTCAGCACGTCTGGAGAAGGAATTTTTGCTAGCTATGTTTAGGAGTAAGACTCAGTGCAGATGGCACAGGGATTACTGTCAACCCGGCCACCTCCTCAGAGGTTGCCCAATGGTGATGTAAAGGATGCAACTCGTAAAGAAGATGCTCTTTCACCATTCACATACTCTCATTTCCAGCTACAGAAACCAATCAACAGGTCCCTTGCCTTTTGCTTTCTCTCCTCACCGTTTCTGGAATGCTTTACAACAGGATTTTTCTGCTCTTTGCAATAGGAAATGTCAGCAGTCCGATCTGATCCAGGGGTAGTCCAGGGATGGGTGGGGCTGAAGTTCTCATCGCTTGGGTACACAGAATGGGTCAGAGATAGCTCAAGGACATTGAATACCCAAGGGCAACAGTGTGTCCTGTTTAGGAGCCTGGCAAAGGCTCCAGAGACTGCCTACTGAAGCTGCACCCAGGAGGCCACTGTAAAGCTTTCATGAGGCAAAGGATGGCGAGACATTAGTGGCTTTTGGTATTCTGATTGCTTGGGCCTACCTGTCTGTTTGGGGGAGGAATCAGGCCCACTTACATGGACCTTACCAGCTACCATGTGTTGTAATAGTTCCTTTTTTGGTCCCCATTACTCCTTTGTATTGCAAAAAGTCCCCAATTACGTGATGACAGTGCCACGTGACAACTTACTCCATTAATCACTCCTAGGGGCCCTCAGCCAGTCTCTGATTTGGGGGTCCACTGAGGGCTTGCTTCCCAAGCTTTTTAAGAGACCTGGTGTAACATGTACATGGTCTAAAGTGAGGGGAGACAAATTTTTAAAAAATTATTATTTTAAAATTTGTTATAGAGCATGTATGCTCCCCAGAGAGAGAAAGTGAGAAAGCAAGCCACCAGGTTTGGGATTCAACCTCAGTGGGCCATATGGGAGTCCAGCATCTTAAACCACCAGTCACGTGCTGGCCCGGAAGGGCAAATCTCAATAAGCATTTCTGAGTGCAGCAAATAAAAAACCCAAAATTAGAGTCTTTACTGATGCCATAGACCTGCAGAGGTGAAATTTGCACTTTTCCTAATTACCACAGGAAGTAGAGAAGGATAAAATGCCTTGATCAGGAATCAGTGCCACACTGCAAAGGGTTGAGGTCATTGCTGTGGTGCACAGGAGAGGTGGTGAAATTGGGAGAAGCTGGAGAGAACTTGTTTAAATTGGGTAAAAATACCAATTTTGTTGTTAGTGGTAGGAGCTTTGAATCACACACACACACACACACCCATGGCGCTGCCATTTAAAGATCTTATTTCTGAAAAGCAGTATAACACAACTCAGTATTTCCTGAACTTGCCAGTTTCTAAGAATCACCCAGGGGCACTTGGGCACGCATTCCCAGGACCCTCCACTGGCGTTTGATAGGTCTAGAACGGAATCTGGGAATAGGTGCTTTACAAGCACGGTGTGCAATTCTTACAAGTTGAGGTGTACTAATACAAAGAATTTAGGGCACCATTTTGTGGAGACCTTGGAGTAAAAGGCAGCATGCCACCCCCACCATAAACACTCAAGGTTAAAAACCCTGCCCTCGTTAAGCAAAAATAGCTCTTTTAATACAGAAATGTCCCTTCCCTTCCACGTTTTCTCACGTGGCTCAACTGTTTATCAACCCTCATTTAAACACCCACTTATCTCGTTGGTCCCAGCAGGGCCAGACACAGCTCCGCCCCGAGATGCGGGCCAAGGCCGGGCGGGTCAGGGGTCAATGGTGTCCGGCGTCCTGTGGGCGCCCTCGTGCCGCGCTCCGATTGGCTGGAAGTTCCCTCGCCTGGAGCAGGAGCGGCTCCAACTCGCCACGCCAGCCTGTCCGGA